CATCACAACATGACCGGGACACCATCAAAACATGACCCGGACACCGTATGACACCGTGACATGACCCGGACACCATCAAAACACGACCGGGGCACCATTAAAACATGCCCGGGACACCATCACAACATGACCGGGACACCATCACAACATGACCGGGACACCTTCAAAACATGACCGGGACACCATCCGCCCACCAGCTCTGACGGTGACCCGACGGCGCCCGTCCGCCCATTAGTTTTGCAAGACCCCATAGCATGGCTATTGGGGAACAACAATGAAAAGGTTATTATCCTGTCCCAGCATCAGGCCAAAGCATGCCGATGGTCGCGAACATGCAAATCCTGCCATGCTTCAGCTCTACAGCCCGTCGGCGGTCGAAATCCTCTTTGGTGCAGTCTCCGCCACAGTAGCCAATAGGATCCCAGAACAGAAGTGGGTCACAGGCCCCGATCTCGTTGGAGGCATCGTAGGCACAACGCACCACTGCAGCTCTGGTGCTGGGCCGGGCCACAGACATGGCTACGAGGCCAGCGACGCCCACAGCCCCAACCGCGCCCAGGGTTCCTGTGGACCTCTGCTCCACACTGGAGGTGCCCCTCAGAGCTTGTCTGGGTGCACCTGCAGGTGCTACGAAGGCAGAGGCTGCCATCAAAGCGGCGCCTGCGGTGGCAGCAGCGGAGATCTTGGACATGGCAGGCATGTCTTTAAATAATTGTGACAAGCTTGTCTAATCAAAAATATCGGCCGCGCGGAAGCGTGCCGGAGCCAAAAGGCTTCAGGTTGTGAAGTTGATGGTACCATTTTTTTTCCAGTACTGATTTGTCTGTAGCCACTTTACCAAACATCTGTCAGCAGTCGGCATCAAACACCAAATTCAGCACACGACTAGGGCGATCCGACCACAGCTGGCAGGCCCGTCTTGCGCACGGTCTTACGCACCCGTGCCACAAGCCTACAATGTACTACAATGTGTATACTATAGTACATCGCGTGGTTCCAGCCTCACCCACTATGGACAAAAGCGAAGGAGCAACCTTTTGCATCCGTTCTGGAGCAAAACTGGCTGACAATAAAAGAGTCATTCAGCAAAATGAAGTGAAATACGTACAAGTATATACGGTGTGCGTGTGTGTGTTGTTGTACAAAACATGTTCTGTTAAAAGTATCAAGCGCACTCGGGGACCCGAGGTGTTCCAAAAAAATGTTTGATCATGAGCGCTCTGTTTCTCCCCGTCTATACAATTTGTTTTGAATCAGGAACCCCTAGTTCAAAAGCCAGGCCCGAAACTCTACTAAGCATATCAATATAAGTTTCAGATCAACAACGGATCTTTAATACGGCCTTCAAACAGAAAAATGCTGATATCATAAAAGTTGTGAAGCCACGCTCGACAACACAATACAGCAGTAAAAGGTGGAAAAAGGCACTACCAGCAAGTCAGCGGAAGATAAGCATTTCAATTCGTCAGCCGTCCACTGCTCAAAAAAAAAAGGGTAGCCGGGAAAGGTTTCTTTGCGTGTCGCTGTGCTTGAAAGCAGCTGGCACAAACAAATCCTGAGGGCATCGCGTTTGGAACAATTATGCCAGAATAGACCCGAGATAACAAAACTAAGCCACGTGGCATCCTGCAGCTTCACCAGCACACAGACTCCAAAGGGCAAACGGCCACAAACACCTCGCAGCACCCTGCAGCACCCGGCAACCAAGCCAGCATCCAAGCTCCAAAGCGCACGCGGCCGTACGCATCTGGCAGCGGGACTTTGCGCCTGCACCCTGCAGCGGCGCGAGCACCCAGTCTCCAAGCACACAGCCCTAGGCATCTGGCAGCGGCACCCTGCAGCGGCACCAGCCCCCGTGTCGTAGACATTTGGCAGCGGCACCCTGCATCAGCACACAGGCTCCAAAGGGCACACAGGCACCTTTTCCTGAACTTGAAGTAAGA